TGTATTTGAGGTGTGTGAAAAATATGACATATCGCCGATCTGCCATTGAAATACTACAGGGCGTTGTTTGAGTGTTTCTAGTTAGTGTTCAAAAACATCTTTCACATACACCTTTAATTTTTATGAGGGGAATATACCATCACGTGAAAGGTGTTTGCAAGTAATAGTGATAGTTTTATAATTTAAAAAAAACTGTTAGTGTGTATTTGAGGTGTGTGAAAAATATGACATATCGCCGATCTGCCATTGAAATACTACAGGGCGTTGTTTGAGTGTTTCTAGTTATTGTTCTAAAACATCTTTCACATACACCTTTAATTTTTATGAGGGGTATATACCATCAGGTGAAAGGTTTTTGCAAGTAACATTGATACTTTTTATTTTGTTTTGTTTTGGTTAGTGTGTATTTGAGGTGTGTGAAAAATATGACATATCGCCATTGGTGCTTGTGATGCTTGAGTGTTATAGTTCTAAAACTTCTTTCTTTCTTGTTGATCTTAGTATTTGACAAAACTGGAAAGGTGTTTACAGCGCTTTGTGATAGTTCTAAACTTTCTGTTCTTGAGGGGTCTGTGACAGTGTCAGTTAACATTCTGTCAATGCCCATGTCATTCCACACATGCAATAAGATATCTGAATTAGTTACTAATGTAAAAACATGTTTCAAAGTAATTTTTTATTTGAAAATGGACAGCTGATGTTAACATATGTGTTCTACCGATAGTTTTGTGTTCTTTGACATGTTTGGGGAGGGATGGCCGTGGTGTATCATTTATTCTTTCATTCATTCACATATGTTCTTTTTCTTTTTCTTAATTTCTTTCATTCATTCACATAAAATTCTTGCTCTTAATTCATTCATTCATTCATTCATTGTAAAATTCCGACTGATACAATACACTGGCTGAAGTACTGTTAAACGCAGCCGAAGTTGCGCTGGGACCGAACCAAGTCACTGTGTGCGTTGGAGCATGACGAGGCACACGTTAATTAGTACAAATGGTAAAGAAAGCAAGCGAGTGACCTATCCCTGTTGTAGAGTATCCCTGGTAATAGTGATGAGAAAACAAGAGATCTCAGTCAGAAACGGCGCCGTTTGTGGTTTGCAGCTGTCAATCGGGAGGATCTTGCATTCAAGGATACCAAATACATGCGTGTGTGCAGCGATCAGTTTGTTGGTGGTAAGTACAATATGTGACTATGGCCGGTAACTCTGCGTAATACGAAAGTAGGTTCGGTTGTCTTACTAATCAAACTCGTTATCCTGTCAGTAGTACTAAGTAGTATGACACCGATAGAAGGAATTATCTGTCTTTCCAAACCAGCTCTGGCGTGACGAAATTATTCGTTTCTGCGTCGACATGATCAATTCAATACACGAATTTTAACCCGCTTCGCTGAATTATATAAGGCCACAATATATGAAATAGTCCAGGTGATCTGTGACATATCAGGCTAAATTGAGGCTGTCACCGATAATTTAACAGTAGGAACATGCCTGAACTCTGCATGCCTCCATACTGCAGTACAGTTATGCAGTTAACACCACAAGACAATAATTGTGTAATATTGTGATGATGACGATAATAATCAAATAATCTTCTCCGGGTTCTCCTTCGGCCTTGTATCAGGACACCCATCCCGATTGGATACCAACTTTGAAACTTGGCTATGGCAAGGCTGACAATGACAACAAGGGTTCTCGTTTCTCCCGTCTGCAGGTAAAGTAAGGGGACCGTTCATAATTTATGGCTGGGGGGTGATGGTGATGATTTTAAGGGGGGTCACCCATTTTGATTTTGTTCTGAGGAGGTAAGGGGGGTCAGCAATTTTGTACACAAATTTCTTGGGGGGTCATCAATTTTGTACATGGAAATATTTAATAATTAGGCTTACAAAATATGGGAAGGGGGGTAATTGATTTTGTACACAACATGCAGAGGGGGGTCACTTACTTTGTGCATAATTTTTAGGGGTGCCAGTCACATTGTTCATGGTTCTCCATAAAAATCATCATCACCCCCCCTGGCCATAATTTATGAAGGGTCCCTAAACATGTTTAATATTTTTTATGTATGTATATTTCATATGTTATTGACTTGTGACACTTAATTAAATGAAATGTTTCTGTCTTTCTGTTCATTTTGAAATTCCTTGAACATTCAAAAGAAGTCAAATTGAGGGGTGCAAGGTTAATTGATTTTTGCTGTAGTATGTAACACAGATATTCCCCTCAATCTTAAATTATTTACATCATATATATAAGGTTTATTGTAAGGACTTGTGTTCTTTGTCATTTAGGAGCGCAAGGAAGCATCAAGACTCCGGAACCTGCAGTTTGATCTTGAAGTTGAAGAGGAACTTTGTGAGGCAGAATCAGACATTGAACCAGTAGATCAAGAGCATGATATTACACCCAAACAGGAACTTAAAAGTTGCAAAATTGAAACTGACATTCTTAAGTCAGAAATGAATCTTTAAAACATGAGAATAATCTACTTAAGAAGACAGTTCATAAAATGAAAGCAAATAATACTGAAGACTTTGAAGGTGATGATGATAAAGTACGATATTATACTGGTCTGCCTTCGTTTGTAACGCTAATTGCATTGTTCAATCTTGTATCATATGGAATTAGTCAGTCTTCACATTTCATCTCTGACAAAGTTTCAAAAGTTAATTATTACATTAATGAGACTCAGACTGAATTCACCCACTCTTGACCTAAGTTACAGGTTTGGTGTCAGCAAAGCTACAATTTCCAGGACATTTAATCAGGTTATGGATGTCTTGTACATCAACTTAAAACAACTTGTGTTCTGGCCAGATAGAGAGGATTTATGGAAAACAATGCCAATGGTATTTTGGACGCAGAGTGTCTGTTATTATAGACTGTTTTGAGATTTTTATTGATAGACCATCCAATTTGACAGCTAGAACCCAGACATGGTCAACGTACAAGCATCATAATACTGTAAAATATCTTATTGGCATCACTCCCCAAGGTTCTGTAAGTTACATTTCTGAGGGATGGGGAGGTCGTGTTAGTGATAAGTATTTAACAAATAATAGTGATTTCACCAATCATCTTCTCCACGGTGATATAGTATTAGCAGATAGAGGCTTTGATATACAAGAAATTATTGGTTCTGTAGGAGCGGAGTTAAGGATTCCAGCATTTACACGAGGTAAACCACAGTTAAGTGGCACTGAAGAAGAGGAAACAAGAAAAATTGCCAATGTAAGAATTCATGTTGAAAGAGTTATTGGTAGTGTCCGTCAAAAATTCATGATCCTCAGTAGCACTATTCCCATTGATTATCTAATGACAAAGAATAATGAAACTGATCCATTACTTGACAAGCTTGTCCATGTTTGCTGTGCATTTACCAGCATGTGTCCATCAGTTGTTCCATTTGAGTGAAGGCTACTTATATCTTGTGAGACTTACAAAAGATGAAAAACATAAATGAAAGGTCAAATGTGTTTAATGTTGGCATATTTAGCACTCGGTGATACACCCACCTTGACATGTTCAATGGCGACTAGAACCACATTGTAGTTTGCATCTGATATACTATTATCTGAAAATTATGTAATCTATGTTTCTAACATGACCATGATCAATGTTGTTCACTCCAAGTTTTAAAAAGGTATTATTTGATAACTTCATCATTAATGATCATAGATGTGTTCAGATTGAATTAATTTTAAAAAGTCACTGGCAAGGAGGGCTAATTATGTAAAACTGTCGCTTGCCCATATCATACTTCACAGGCCCTGCAAAATATCAATATCAGCATGCACATTGGTCAGGCCTGGTATTATGCTTGGTAATTACAGATGGTTGGTTATTGTCAACCCTTTGAAACAATACATTTGTATTGTAGTAATGGTTCCTAACTTCTTTTACGCAATGCTGTTAACATTTTCTATATAGTGATCTTCGTGTGGCAAGAGATAATATATATCACTAAACTTTTGAGGACAGACTTTTAACACCTTAATCATGTTAATAAATGACTTCATCATATTCATGTACATTAAACAAAGAACAAATTATCTGATATACTGAACCAGTTGGGATAGCTTTGCTTTAACAGTATATTACTGCCCCGATTCACAATCAGCTAGCATTTGGCTAGCAGGCAAGTAGCTATTTCAAACACTGTGATGTGTTGTCATTATTCAAGCAGATCATATGTCACAAAATTATTTGTAAGTGAAATCACATCTTATTCAAATGACTTTACTGATATTTTGTTTCACACAATAATTCAGCTGCATAATTATCCCAGCAACTATTGATGTCATAGACCATTTCACAAACCAATGGAAAATATTTCATACACAAGTCTATGAGTTACTGCTCAAATGTACAATCTGTCAATTATAGTAATAAAACTATTCTTAATGTGCTGAAACATTATCTGTGATTATTTTTGTTCTATGTTGGCCTTGGTGTAGTGCCAACAAAATATGACATCAATATCATTTTGAGAACAAGTTCAATAAAAGGGTGGTGTGTCATCAGACACAGAACAAGTTGCTTGGTGTCAGCGAGGCTTGAGACACATAAGTAAAGTTATACTGATAAGATATTGTTCTTGAAACATCACACTTCACTATTGTGTTTCCGCTTCTTTCTTGTGTTATTTGTAGAACAGTGTTTACAATACCATTTCCCTTTCGGTTTTCGCACAAGACCAACACACTTGAAGTGAAACCATCTGACTGTACATTCTTTCCCATCACAGCCAATATACCTCCTTCCATCTTCTGGCTTCTGGCATGTACAAAACACTTCCTTGTCGACTCTTTCTTCAGCAACCCTTGTACATGTGTTCAAGAAATGACGTGCAACAATCTCTGGTAGAATAATGGATGTGAAGAACTGCATTGCATGATCAGCTACTGGTTTCCAAAATACCATACAAGGTGTAATTCTTTCCACAAATATATCATTGTTTGTCCAAACAACAAAGTCACAATAATCATGATTAGTTACAAATAGCTGTGTTTGCACCTGGTAATAATACTGACTGTCCCTTTTTTAATTGCAGTGACCCATTAATCTCCTCTAAGTAAACTATGTTACTATCAACAAAGTCATCCTTTGCACAGAATGGACACTTAATCTCAAGACAGCCCCTTCCACAACAGCTACAGTCAACAATACCATCAGGAGTTGCCCCAAGATGTGGATACTCACAGCTGAGGAATAAGCCACATTCCTCAACACTGAAGTTATGGTGACGCTCAGAAGACAATTTCTCATAGGTGTCCCTAGCTGTTACTTCATGGCTACATCCCCATCTCGTAGCTGGATTAGAAAACTTGACCTCAGTCGGGTAACAGATGTGGCGAAGTAAACTCCTCGAAGGGTCAGACAGTGATGTACGATTGACACTCTTCATCTTTGATGCTGTTATACGGCCAGCCCTGAACTGAAACCAAACTGGGGAACACGCTTGGTTTCTTGTTGCTGCTTCAACTGCTGAAACCTCCTCTGCTGTAATGTTTAGTTGATTTATAACGTTGTGACAGTGTAGTAAATAATCATTGTATGGGATGCCAACCATACTTTCATCAAATGGTTCAGTGATCACTTGAGGAAATTGTTGTTGTAATGGTACAGGTACATACTGATCACTGTAATCACTATGAACCGCAAGACAAGATGGTTTAGCTGCATTAATAGTGCGAAGGAAATTGTCAAAACTGACGGTAGATGCAGGTTTTAACTCCATGATATGTTTAGCACTTGATGAAGTCGAACATGTCCTAGAACCCTCAATTAACAGGTCAAGTTTCTTTTTCAAAGTCTTTGATGAGGTGAAATCAATCTTTCTTAGACATGCATAGTTAACCTTTTTAAGAGAAGCTGGAAGTTTCCAGTATGCAGGTTGCTGTGTGACAGTGGCGGTTTGTCTTAATCTCACAATAGCTTCAACAGGAAACATCATACTTGCCACATGTGAGCATGATTCACCCAAACCTGCCATACAGTTACAATGAGCTGATAAAACTGTGCCAGCATCATCAGTGATAAACCAGGGCTGCAATGGAGCTTCATTCAAGTGCTGGGAATGCACAACCTGTGAAAATACAGTGCAGGAATTAATTTTTGTTCAGACATAATGCTATATGATATTAAGAAATTGATTGAAATGTGGCAGTTTTACTAAACCAAGGCTTTTCATCGCAGCACACTGAAGGCAATTAGTATGTACAAAATTTTATTAACACACTAAAGACATTTTGGATTTTGTATCAACATTAACTCTACTGTTAAATCAGTGTAAAGGTAATTAAAATATTGCTGTACTCTACACAGGTTTGCCACAGATGACGAAAGTTCAAACTCCATACTTTCCCTGACTTATCCCTGACCAATTTGATTTTTCACTGATCAAAATTAAAAGAAAACAAATAAAATTTCGGCCTCCAAACTCCCCCTACAGCCGACCTTTCTATTAATTTTACTTAAGACAAAGTAAAATATTTAGACAAAATATACTCCTCACAAAAAGTTAAGCAACACAAATTTGTAGTCTCATTACATTTTCATTTATTGAAATTTCAAATCATGGAATGATGCAATAGAAAGGTTAAATATGTATACACACGATTAACAAAATGAAATGAAATGGTATTGAGCAATAATAGACTTACAAATCATCAAAAGCATGTACTCGTGAAACAGTCGTGCAAAATGTGCTGCATTGATGGAGCAAAATGTTAACATTAAGGTTCAAGTCAGTTTTGGACAGTGAAGCAGTGTTCAGTAACGCGTATGACCACCATGAGCACAAATGCAAGCTTCTACACGCCTTTCCATTGACCAAATGAGCCTTTAAAGTTGCTGTTGTGGAATGTTCTGCCATTCTCTGTAACTTCTGCTCAAGGTCATCCAGAGTCTGGGGTGCACATGGAGACCGTGAAACACGACTTCCAATAATGTCCCAAGCATGTTCAATGGGATTAAGATCAAGTGACCTTGCAGGCCAGTCCATATGTGTGATGTTGTTGATCTAAACAACATCGCTAACAACTCATTCTCGCCATTATCATCCATGGACGGGCATTATCACCCATTAAAATGAAGTTAGGACCCGCTTGTTGTGCCAGAGGAATGATTACAGGTAGGTTTACAATGATCAGGGTGCATGTGTGAAGAGTGGTGCACATTCATCCCACACATTTTGCATGTTGTTTCTGAGTGTGGTTGTGTTCGGGTTATGTTGTCAATGTTATCAGATAAATTAATTTGACAGTCACTAAAGGTTATGTATTCTTTGAATATTTACCTTTCAGTAACATGTCGGCAAAAATTGCTATCGAAATTGATAAAGATATTACACTGAAAATACTTGTTGCTTATTTTTTTGTGAGGAGTATAATCAAACAAACACAGAGATCAATCTTACATCAAGATGAAGTGTATGACACAGAAATATTACCTCTGGCAAACTCTGACACATAAGTTTTGATTTTCTTTTTTAATTTCAATGTTTTCATTTTAAAGTCCTGTTGCAAGATTGAGGATCACCTCCAGGAAAAGGGTGACTTTGTATAGTATGAAATCTTACTGGTAGAAATACTGACATTTTCAAAAAAAAAAGAACACACAAAGAACATAGACATTGATAGTAAGAGGTCAAAAACAGTAGCTGGGACAGTATTTGAGTCAAACCCAAACATAAAAAGTTCAGCAGAGAGCTTGAGATTGAATATTTGGTCACATTTCTGTGTCCCCAGTCCCCGCCACATTTCTGTGTCCCCAGTCCCGGCAGTAAGTGAGGAGCCGTAAGTGACGTCATATATATAGAGAAGCACGCGAGAGCGGGCTGATCTCCGTTAGCAGCCATTTTAGACGAAATTAGAGGTCAATTCAATTGAGGCGCAGATTTGTTCTTGTAATATAAGGTAAGTGAAGCGTTTCGATATTTGTTATCACGCTGTGCTACATCATGTTAACTTACCTGTTTTGTTTGGGAGTACTGCACTTTACCGGGCGCACTGTTTCAGATTAATTAGCGTTGCTGGGGTTCCCTAACCCTAACCCCTAACCCTAAGGATCGTAAAGGGAGCAGCGAGGGCTGCGCCCGGTAAAGTGCATTCTACCCTTTTTTGTTTATTGTATCGATTAGTATCCAAGGGTAATTGAATGGACCAAAACAGCGATGTTGTTATTTGCTGGAGCAAACAAAAAATGGCGTCAGCGTGTGCTCGCTTCGACGTAAATATGGCTTCTGCGCATGTCTGTAGCTAAACTTCCGGGGACCCGTAAAGTGCAGTCTACCCAAACTATTTACTTACTTTTGACATCACGACATGAATGGCCTTTCCATCTTGGACGGATAAATGCACATATGTGACGATGCCACGTACCCAACCACACACAAATCTGTCATATTCTTCCAGACTCCTATAGTTTCTCATATCGGATAAACTATAAAAAGGACTAGGGCTGAACACCAGATAGTTCACGATGTCGACATAGTTTGTTGCCGACAAATACTTGTGGTCGTCACTCCAATCCGATCTGGGAATCCTGTACGGATCTTCGTTGTCTATCACAATAGTCTTCTCGATATATCGTATGCGAGATGCTTTATCCAGTAAGTTTGCATAATTCTCCATGACAGATGGTTAGATGACGGACTGAAGCAGACAGACGTATGCGTAGACGATAGTTGCTAGTGACGCTATCGTTGCTGGGGACGCGAATGACAACCAACATGGCGGCGCGCACGGAATCACGGGATAACTCTGAAACCCCCGACCCGCTCTCCTACCCAGAGTTCCATGCAGCAAGCCAGCATAGTACCTCTGCCACAGGCCAGAAAAATGTGACGATTCGTCACATCTTGCAATGTCAATTCAATATAATGTACAGATTTCTTTTACTCTTTTATTTTTGACGAGTCTGCACATCTAACTAAACATCTTTAATAGAATGGTTTAGTTTCACTGAGAAAATATCCAAAAACATGTAACACTATTTCGAATTGCGTAGCGATCCTTTGTTTACATAGGTTCTACGGCTCCACGTGCTGTCATCGAAGCCGACGGAGAGCAAACGATGCAGCCAGTTTGATATCTAAATATGTACTGTCATAGACCTAACTGTCGCAGTTGTGGAGGAATATATATGTAACAATGTGAAACATTATGAAGACAGCGCCGAAAAGCTTTCGTGAGTCCAGTCTCTTCTTATTATGAATATGCGCGTTTGATTACAAACAAGAGAAAAGTCCGGTCACGTGATATGCAAATTAGCCTGTGGCAGTGATGTTATGTTAGTATCATCGCTGTGCCGGAGTGTGCCCCTGACCGATCCAGTCCCGGCCGATAAGCCCCGCCCACTTCGTTTTTTACGTTAGGGGGGACAACCACGGACTAATCACAATGGCGTCACCGCCGGCGAAACGTACGTGATTGCGAATGTTGTTGATGAATTATGCTTGTTGTACTTTGGTATCCGTCGTTTGTGTGATATTTTAAAAGGAAAATTATACATATTTTATTTTCAATACATTTTAGTTGACAGGTTGTATAATTGGCGAGTGAAAAAGTAGTTAGATCTACATGCCCGATGAAAAATCGTCTGGATACGGAAACGCTGAATGGACCTCATGAAATATAATTTATCTTGAGCGCACAAGTTAGTATATTGAGCGCACAGTACATTGAGCGCACAAGTTAGTTATCTTGAGTGCACAGGTTAATATATTGAGCGCTCAAGTTAGTATCTTGAGCACACAAGTTAGTTATCTTGAGTGCACAAGTTAGTATCTTGAGCGCGCAAGTTAGTATCTTGAGCGCACACGTTAGTATGTTGAGCGCTCAACTTAGTAGAATATTGAGATACACTGCTTCATAAGCAGTTCATGTGGAAGCAAGGACGAGTGGAAACGCGATCTGATTCATGCTTATTTCAGTCTTGGGTTCCAATACTAACACATAACACATCTTCTTGTCAAAACTCAGGGTATAGTATAGTACGCCACTTGAAGCGTATTCTGAGGTGTATGTCTCTCTCTCGTACCAGATACCGGATTTGCTGATGTTACAGTGAGTGAGTGAATATGGTTTACACCGCTTTTAGCAATATTCCAGCAATACCACGGTGGGGAACACGAGAAATGGGCTGCATACATTGTACCCAGGTTGGGGAATCGAAACCCAGGCGTGACGAGCGGACGCTTTAACCACGAGCGAGGCTACCCCACCGCTACCCACAAGACTGATGTTACATACTTTATTGCGGACGACTTCGACGATCTGAACAAAGACATGGTTATCGTTGATGCATCAAAAATGTATTCAATGCGGTTTAATCGTGAAACAGGATACTGTACGGTCGTTGTTGGACCCGGAATGGTGTTGAATTTCGCTTCAGGACACTGTCTTCATCGACGCCTTTATTCTTCAACTTCCTGTGTTGTTAAACGCGTTAAATAAACTACAACACACATACGTATACATAAGGGATTGATACGGAAGAAGTGAAACGGGGAACACGGTATTTTAGTAAGAAATAAAGTCGATATATATGCCTACGTGCACATACTAATGGATCAAATAAATTAGGCGGGTTTTAAATGATATTGTACAGAGTTAAACTGCCATTGTACCCACGTTAGGAAACATTACTGATACATGCATACCAAGACTACAGACTATAGTTCCCTGAAAGTGGTCGACTTTTACTTCAATACATCAGACATTAGTTTTATAATTAATATAATTAAGTATAACACTCAATGTTTACATTTTTCATGGTCATGTAATACTATATATACATAATAAAGCCGAAGCAAAAAACAAGTTATCCAAGTGTTCATAATTCTATGTACCAATATAAGAAGTAAGTAAAACCACTATTCATCCCTGCAATAAACTCCTACTCATGTTTATGTTTTAATTCTTATTATGACATGACACATACCTAGGCCTGCTTTATGTAATAAAGCAAAAAGTGGTAAAATCAGATACAAAGAATAGTATTGACAAGCATAAAGACGATGAACGCTTACATGATAAACATTATCAATGTTCATGATACATTTGCATACTTTTACATAGTCTCATCATAAACACCTATAGTTAACTCCGATATATATGTCAGGGTAGAGATTGCGATCTGGTAGAATCGAGATTCTACCAGTAGAGATTGCGATCGGAGTCTCTACCAGTAGAGACTGCGATCGGAGTCTCTACTGGTAGAATCTCCGATCCTACTAGTAGAGATTGCAATCGTAGTCTCTACTGGTTGAATCGGAGATTCTACCAGTACATTTTCCAATTCAACTGGTAGAAACTCCGATCCTACTAGTAGAGGCTGCAATCGTCTTCAACTGGTAGAAACTCCGAGTGATCTGTGGGTAAACAACAAAGACACTTTTTCTGAACAGTACTATGCATTTTATTCAGATATAACACTAGACTGTTTCCACTTCTACAGATATATTAAGGACTAAAAATACAAATGTGACTTGAGAGATCATATTACAATATATACATATATTACAAAACTGATTACAAGCAAGATCAATTGCATAATCAGTGTTTGCCCTAGGCAAAAAAATTTAGAAGTCATCATGAGAGGGAGTCATGGACATGTTTTTGGGAGTCAACTTCTTTCATCAAGAGATCAACTGTTATCAGGGTTCGAAATACCCCATATATTAGTGTGCCATGGCACGGTCATTATTGAAATGGCACGGCTAAAAAATGTTCTCGGTGCCCTTTTCACACGCCTGATTTTTCAGAGACATAACTCACATTTAGTCATTTAATCCCCAAAACAATTTTTTTTTTTCCAAATTAAATAATACCATACATATGTGAATGCTCATAAACCCATTTCTTTATTTAACAATAAATTTCAAATGATCATTAAACAAGCATGTTGGCTTATTGTAACACTGCTCCAGGAAATACAGAATTGGTTTGTTGTTATAAGCTATAGGTGTATTGGCATGTCGGCATTTTGGGAGGATAGGTGTAGGGCAATTCCCCACCAGGTCATTACCCCATCTGCCATATCCCCACCTGGTCATTTCCCCACCTCTTTGGAAAGCAGTGTTTTTATAACAATTACTGATCATAAGTTTTGAAATACATCTGAATGAACTTCCTACTTTTAACTGAGACTTTGATAACAAACATTTAACACCTCACTGTAAACAATATCAAAATAAAAAATAAAAATGGTTTGTAACACTGTATTTACATCATGAGACCAAGCTGCCAAATTTGGACTCCACTCAAAAAACAATAACAAAATACCTTACTCCAAAACAGACTTAACAAATAAAGTTAACAAGATAACAATAAATAAGTTCAATTATAACTGGCAAATAATAGGAAAACATTATCCCCACTTATTATACTTGCTTGCATAAGCTTGCACTTGCTTGCATAGGTTATTCCATATAATCGTAGTCTCTACCAGTAGAGACTACGATCGCAATCTCTACTAGTAGGATCGGAGATTCTACCAGTAGAGACTCCGATCACAGTCTCTACTGGTAGAGACTCCGAGACTCGATCGCAATCTCTACTGGTAGAATCTCCGATTCTACCAGATCGCAGTCTCTACCCTGACATATAATACAGTCTGCACCTGTACACTGACACATCTTCCATAAATAGGAAATGTGTGATGCAAAATCTTTGAACAGAGGATCCACAGTTATCCGTACAATTAACTAGCATTGAAACAGAATGTTACACAACATACACAACAATACTGCTTTTTCTTCAGATATATTTAACAGCTAACTACTATTGTAAATAAGAGGCAAAGAATATATTCAAAGTTTAAAGCTATTTGTCTATAAAATTGCATATTGACATTATTGCTTCTTAAACAATGATAATCTTATTAGATCTGAGACCATGTCCCTTAGGGACATAACACTAATTCTGATCTATTTCCTTTTCTGAGATACTTACTAGTGTCATCAAACTTATATTAAAGTTGCTTAAAAATTTGGTAAAAGTCATA